AACAGCTTGTCATATCAAAAAATGATTTTTCTGCAAAGCAAATATTTTGAGAATGACCATCCACGTATCCCATTAACCATTAACTCTACACATCAACACCCAAGAGATGTAACAACGCAATTCAGACTGTTTGCCAAGCCAAAATTAACTCTGCTTTCACTTTCATGCCAGCAGAACTCCCTGTACCTCCTGGCTCTGGCCTCAGCTCCACGCAGACTCCCAATCCCCAGGACACAAAACCAGGAGCAAAGCACCTTTTCTCATGCTAATAACTCCATTGCAATAACATCTTCAGAGGCTACACTCAAGGTCTGAGGGAAAAGTAAACCAGTGAAGTGCTTAATACTCCAATGGCGCATTAACTCATTCACACCCAGACAGCCCTGCCAAGCCAGGAGGAGTTTTCTTTCATGCTTTCCTGATTTATATTTTCACAGCTGTCAGAGAGAAAAGCATGTAGGAAGCACATGACGTAAACCACCCGATTAGGCTAAAATCCTCCATGTGGATCACACCTCCTTCCCTCCTCTCTTCCACTGCAGTTTCATGCAGAAAGTAGAGGGACTTTTTGTCTGTTACTGAAAGCAGATTCCTTTTTTTAAAGGTTAAACTAGTCATTATTTGCACTGCTGTCCCTGTTACAACACATGACGGCATAAAAGGAAAGGAGCAAATTCTCATCCTGACGCTTTGCTCCCTGCAGCACCGCAGCTCTGCCCGCCTCGCACCCCAGCCCTGGTGGCAGCAGGGAGGGTTTAGGAGCAGCCTCCTTGTATTTGTTAACTGTAACGAGACAGGAAGCCACGGCTGCAGAAGGGAGAGATCAGAAGAACGTAATCTTTCAAAAACACAACAGTTTTGCGGGAGAAAAAAACCCAAACCAACATCAGAAACCAGAAATTATTATTCCACTGGCCTGTTCTGTGCCTCACAGGAAATAACAAGCAACTGTACGAAACCCTTCACATCCAGAGAGGTAATTCAGAAATACTCTCTTCTTCCAAATTTTCCAAATCTTAAAAGCCATTCTTGAGGAAACAACGTATTCTGGGCAAAGCTGAAGCATGCCTGCAATTTGTCTGAGGGACCTGGTGGCAAGCCCCAACAGAAAGCAAAACTAATGCATGCATCTTTGTTCTGATTTTACGTGGAACTTTAAAATAAAAACCAAATGCTACAGCGCCCATTCCCAAAAGCCATTTCAGGATTGCTGTGGAAGACAAAACAGAGCAAACGCTCCTGCTTTGAGATGGTGAAAGCAAGCACAACAGCTGGAGCCACCAGCACCAGCACTGCTCTGCCAGCAGTTTAAAATAACTGTATGCAAAGCAGTCCACAAAAATATTTCAGACTTCACCTTAAGAAAAACCACTTTTTTTTTGAAGTATAAACTTACTGTTTTCTCTACCTCACAAGAAAATACATCTTTTCTTCCAGAACAGTCATATCTGCACTGATCTAAATAGCTGAGGACAGCCAAACGTACCTGTAACAAAACTGTTCCCAGCAAGCTGGAAACATGGGCTGGAAATACCCGGTTTCATTCAAAAGACGGCACCCCCAGGACTGGCTGTAGCCCTGCACGAAGAACACCACTGAACAGAACTGATCCAACAGCTGGGTCCAGAACTGCCCGGTGCCATCAGGGCCCCCCTGGCACCGCTCTGCACTCCCAGCCCAGGGGGCCCAGCCTGTGCTGCAGGCCCGGCTCAGCCCGGGCAGCGATGGGGTTAAGGCAGTGCCAGACCGCAGGCGCTGGCGGCCGACCAGGAGGGACATGGGAACCAGGGCAGCCAGCTATAAAGGCCTTATTGTAGCAGCCCACTGGATTGGAAATGACTTGTAGGCCTAATGAAACAAAACTTTGGCAGTAAAACAGAATGAAAGGAATGAGACAATAAAAGACAGGAACAAAGGGAGCAGAGTTGTTTCAGCTTAGGAAAATAAGCTCACTTTGTTGTTGGGAAAAGCCAAAGCCGATTAGGATAAACCAATGACTAGGCATAAGTCTTCCAAACTAATTACACAGTTCGCCATGTGAAGTGTAATTGCAAGTCACAAAATAAGGACTACATTACTTTCACAGGAGCACTACGAAGCTACCCAGTACTGCGGACCCGCAGGGGTCCCTCACCACCCTCGCATGCAGCTGGAGACGCGCAGGATGCGCTCGCCCTGACAGAAATGCAGACAGACGAAGGCCCCTCTGCCACCACAGCCCAGGGTGAGGTGCAGCGAAGCTGAGCTCTGCTCCCAAACTGCTTCTGGAAGCACTGAGCACCACAAGAGGCGCTGAGTCCGGGGAGCAGCTTGGACATGCAGAGGGCAGCCGGGCCCCTCCTGCAGCTGGCAGGTCATTTTTCCCTGTCTTCCTCTGAATGATGGCTGGGATTCCCACAGATCTTCAGCTTTACTGAAAGAAATAACTATCATATCAGAAGCTTCACAATAAAGGTCTCAAGAGTTATCATTACCACATTTGTTGGTGTGCTAGCTGGCAGGCATTTCCACTGGTGAAGTCAGGAAAGGTTTATTAAAGGCAGTTTTCTTTCTACTGGAGAGAAAGGTTCTGACATTTACTTTTCAGAAAGAAACTATTTCAAATTCAACACTTCAGGGCCCTTCGTGCCAACTCCCGTTAAATTAGCGCGTCAGCTTGGCCCAAAGCTGCATGGCTGTAACCACGGGCTGCACTGAGAGCAACCTCCAGTTACCAGAACAACCGCCCCTGGTTGCAAAGCTCTTCTCTGCAGCAAGTACAGACAGGATTCTGAGAAGCACAGCAGCCGTTAAGCAATTTTATTCACACCAATAAGAAAGCTCAGCATTTCAAAGAGGAAGTCACCTGAGATGTTCTTATCAAGCATGGGCGGCTCTGCTGTTCTCTAATTATGTAACGCAATTGCCTTTTATTTTAAGAAAGCGCTAACCAAATGCAATCCTTGCCATCAGTCATAATGCACTGTTCCTACTGCAGTGACTTGACAGGAGAGGGGTGTGCTGAGCAGGACACGGACACATCACCAGTCTCTGCCACCATGAGCCTGCAACCAAAAGCAGCAAGTGAAGGTAAGGCCTGGGAAGGAGATGGGCATGGAAGAGAAGGAAGCAGCTCCTACAGGTCCCACAGGGACAGCCCTCCCTGTACCTGAACAACCCACCCACTGCAGTGCACTGAGCCACCTGAACCAGCTGGACCACAAGTCCATGATTCCGAGGGTCACTAATCACCTCTGCTCCTTCTCACAACTGGAGCCTGGCAGGCATCACCTCAGACACCCCCAAACCAAACTGCCAGCTGACAAACAACACAGTGCAGTCAAGAGCACTTGAGCGCCTCCAAAATGCCACTGCCTTCAAACTCTCCTCCTGATCACAATGTAGCACGGAGATGCACAAGACATGGATGCACCTGGAAAATGCTACTGGGCAGCACCCTGCTGGCCCTGAGTCCCACAGCAGCCCAGTCCCAAGGACTGCCAGCCTCAGCGAGATGAACCCCAGCTCCACTGCCAAAGGGAAGGGTTTCAGCCCTGCTCACAACTTACACAATTATTTCCAGCTCCTTCATTTTTCAGCCTTCAACTGATAACACCTGAAGAGTATCTGATTCTTCAAAAGTATTCCTTTCTGAAAACCCTTCTTTAAAGTCAAGAAAGGCAGAGCACAAAAGCAGGAACTGAAGCATCCCAAACCACAAGTTGCTACCGAAAAAATGCAGTCCGATTGTCTGCGTTATCAAGGACTGTAAAACTGCAAACATGAAACTACCAGATGGTGAAATTAAAAAGACTAGATTAAGAGAACATCCAGCCAATATGCAAAGCACTTTTATTGAAACTATTATTAACTTCAAAAATACAGGTTAGAGGAGTTCCGCAATTAGAAGTAACTACAGAAGAAACATCCAAAAGCTCGTGTAATCCTTTAATAAAAGGCTCAGCAGGCTGTAAACATCCTGCCGGAATCGAAGATTATTATTGAAAATAAAGTGAACGGCTTGAAAAACAACTACCAATCCAGCACAGGAACAGTTTATAAACTCCCCTCCTCAGCTCTCAACAAAATACTGCCTGGCCAAGGCATTTCAGAGCCAGATAAAAGAAACATAAACTGACTACAAGGAATGGGAGCTGCTTTGCTTTGGGATATCCCACTGCGTGCTCAGGCAATCAAGCATCTAAATCATCAGTCGATGCAATCCAGAAGGCAGAAACCGAGCTGCACAGAGCACCGAAGGTCCAGCGCCCATGGGGAGCACTGCGCTCAGGGCCTGCCCACCCCGCCTGCCGTCAGCTCAGCACAGCCAGCAGCGCTGCGCCGCACCGGGGGCCCCACACCGCAGTGGCGCCCACCGCAGGGTGCGAGCTGTTCTGCTGCACAAGAGAACAGTGGGGCAAGGCCCAGGCTTCCCTCGGACAGCACCGACTCCACGCCTAACTCTGCTTTTAATGACCTCAGGACTCCATGTGTGCTTCACAAGGGCCTTGCTAAAGATTTTTCAGTAAGAAACAGAAGGATAATGTGGTGACTTCCATTCCCCTCTTGCTGTTCACATGGTTCCTAAAGGCATTTCACAACTTCGCAAGCTCTCTCACACACCTCCGTGCCTCCTTCAGCTGCTGGAATCAGGGCTCACAGGAGGCTTATGTTATGGAGCAGACAACTGTGTAATCGTTCAGGTAAGGGTCGCGTTCCTCCTGAACAAACACAAATTCAACTCCCAGTGATTTTTGTTGTTGTTGTTTTGATTTTTTTTTTAACCCTGAGCAGTGCTGACAATGCTGGATGATGCTGTACACATTCAAATGCAGCAAACAATAGGAACCACAAAACAAACTTAAATAGGCTTCAAAAAAAATTAGACTGCAAAGCAGAAAATGTGGCTCTCCTTTGAGCACAGGCCTCACTGCACTTCTGTTTTTTCAAAACACTTTAAAAAGAAAGGGAAAAGAAGGAAGAATTCAAAGAATGCAGCGCTCACTCAGGCAGGAACTTACCTTGCCAAACTGCTCAAAGTATTGCTTTACGTCTTCCACTACTGTATTAGCCGATAATCCACCTACAAATATTTTCTTTGTTCTTGTGACCATCTGCAAGAAATTACAAGACAAGCATATGGTTTAACCAGATTATTTCAAACAATATGTGGAAAAAAAATATATTCTTCAGATGCCATCCCTAGCCCAGTTAATGAGAATATTTCTCTACAAAAGCAATTCAGATTCTATTTGATTAGATACTTTTTTTCTTTGTCTTGTTTTGTTTTTGTTTGAGAAATGGATGAGTAAAGGCACTCAATAACAACTCTAGCCCCCGGATATTTTTTTTTAATAAATGATTTTTATTGTGCTTCTCAATGCAAATATAAGGGAAAAAGGATTCCTCATAGCTACCATCTCAGAAAGGCACGGCATTTTTCCCCCTTCCTTCCTAAAGACAAAGCACACTCTTTAGCAGACACAAGGCAATTCCATCCAACTGAACTGCTACATTACTGATATTAAGTTTCCACGGGTGGCTTTAAAAGGAACTTGCACAATTACTTTGAAATTCTTCAGGAGGCGAGACCCCGCAGCCCAGGCTGGTCCACACAAAGCAAAGGAATGATGCTGGAGCACTGTGGAGCACTTCCAGGTGACCCATCACCCACAACCCTTTGAGATGGACAGGACTCAGCCCAAGGACCCGAGCCCTTAGGAGCAGCAGCAGTAGGGCAGTGGGTGTCACTGCAGGGCCAGTCCACCACCAATGGGCCGCCTCACAGCAGCACAGACCCATCACTCCCATCTCTGCTGCCATTCAAATCAAACATTTCCCTCCATCACTCCCCACCCATGCTTTACAGAGCTGCACTTTTTTTTTTTTTTTTGTAAGTTAAGAAGGAAAAAAAATAGTGTAAAAATTCAATTATTTTTTCCTGAATGCAATCTAGGACTCTGAAATTGAAGCCCAAGCATACATTTTCCTGTATAAAATTGTCATTTACAAATAAAGAATTGGCTAAAGCCAACTTGTAACTAAAGGATTTCGCAGGGCTGCCAGGAGCCCTCTGCCTGCTGGCATCTGATGAAGATCAGGCCAAGCTCCTGTTGTCATACAAAAGAGGGAGGAAAGCAATTATTCTAAAGCAATATTTGAAATTATCTTCATTTTTATATTTGACCAAGAAAGAAAAAAAGAGAGAAATACTTCTTTTAGAAAGAAGATTGAAGGTTAAAAAAAAAAAAAAGACTATTTTGTTTCAATAGCTTCAGTCAAAGAAAATACAGGTAATGACAAGCAAATTCACAACATTTCAATACTGACTGTGTGATGTGAGATGGGAAATGGTTTCAGAAATCACTTCTAGATACAGAAGTGAAGGCCAAAATGAAGCCTGCCCTCACAATCCCTGCTCTCAGACGGCTCCAGTACTCAGCACTCACTGCCCAGGCAAAGAACGCAGCCCTGGGGAAGGCCAGGTCAGGCTGAGGGGCACCAGCATGTAGAGCTGAGCCAGGCACGGAGTTTCTGTTCAAAACCAAAGGCTTTTTAAAATCAGAACGTCTCGTTTGGCTGTGAAAACGCACCTGCATATCTTTAACCAAAATATCCTACAATTCTACAGAAACACACGTATAGGTGAGTGCAGGAGTTGGGCTCACTGACCCTTCTTGGCCCCTTTTCACTTGGGATGTTCTGTGATACACCTAAGAACAACCCGCTGTGCCATCCGTCTGCACTCACTCGCAGCGCCGTGCCAGCAGGCAGCGACAGGAAGCCATCGGAGCCGATCCATCACAACCCCTCGGAGCAGCACTGAGCGCCGGGTCGGCCAGCAGGCACCACTGCCAGCTCCACACCTCAGCAACGTGCAGCAAAGCAGAGCTGTCGACGGCTATCGGAAGCTCTGCACAGAACGCAGACTCTACGTGTTTCTGGAGTCTCTGCACGCTGATGGCGTCTGTCTGTGTTGTAGTGGGAATCGACAGGGGAGAGGGAGACCTAACGGTGCTTATGAAGCCCGCTAATGGCGAGTATCTGCAGAACCGCTTTGTTTGTGCACGGTGTTGGTGCTGCAGCTAATCAAAACTCAACATGTGACTGAACTGCGAAGAGTCACTCAAGGTTACAATCTCTCTCTTGGCTTGGCTCTTCAGAAATACATCTGCCTTTGTGTTTGGCAAACACTTCAGCTGGTGCAGAAGCAGGAAAATACACCGTGCTTCAGCACGACAGCTCTTCTGGTTTGATGGCATTTTGTGCTAGGCTAAGGTTGTAATGAGATCGGTTTGTGGCACATCAAGCCAGTCTTCCCAGAAGAAGAGGCTGAAGACTGCCTCTGGAAACAGATCCGTCCCACAGGAGCGGAACCCGCACGGCTCTGCAGAGCTTGTGCCTCCAGCTCTGCGCCCGTCCGTGCCCGCACACATCAATTTTGCTCTTAGGCTGCTTTGTTCTCTTCCCCCCCATTCTCTCTTGCTATCATGACTATCAAAATGGGCAAAGGGGATTTATGAAAGAATTTCTGGAATTTAAAGAACTTCAGAATCTCAGGCACCAAACCCCCAGCACGTGCAGAGCGCCGAGGCCCAGCTCACACAGCGCAGGAATTCTGCGTTTGACTTCAGGACAACGGCTGTAAGAATCATTTCCTTCCCATTCTCAACATCTCAGAATGGTGGAAATGGACTGGAGTACTAATAATGAATCTGCATCACAAATTGCTGAAATTAGCATTAATTTCAGATTAAACTAATTATGCATATATAACAGTTTTCCAGAGCACTTTCCTCTTGTGCTTCTGAGTGTGTGTGTGGGTGCATGTGTATTCCAGCTTGCTCACCTCATCTGCAGTTTGACATTTCATCATTTCTAATGCATCCGCCTTCTAAATAGGTTTGTAATTGGAAAAATCATCTCTAGTATATATGCTGAACTGCATTTTATACCCCATTGTGTTGTACATCCAAACTACAGCATTACCTCTAATTAAAAACAACAATAACTCATGTAATAGGGGAAGTGATCTTGTTAACTAAATTGCTAGGCTTCTTTAGCAGAACAAAAACCATAAGCAAGAATTCTCCAGGTTTTTTGTGGTGGTTTTTTTTTTTTTTTTTTTGGCCTCCAGGATCCTCACAGCAACTTCCAAAAAGCTATTAAGAAACAAACCGGAACACAGTGCAAAGCCCACGATGAAAGAAAGAACATTTACTGAAAGCTGCCAACTTTTCTCCATTCACAAAGTGAGCAAACACCCCACCAGCCATCCTCTCAGCCAGAACCACTGTATGGTTGAGAAATGACGGACGTATTTCCTGCATAGTACTACATACCTTCAGCTAGCAAACATCAGGCACTCAAAGCTCCCCAAGAGCAAGAAAAACTCAATCCTGTGTAAAGGCAGCACAGCTTTACGTGCCACGTACAACACGCTTAAGTATTCAAAATAGGATTTCAGCAAGACTTAGCCAGTGCAAATACCTTGTGCCTGACCCCTGTGTAAGCTAATGTCATCCTGTGAGAACCAACGCCAGCTACAGAAGGGACGCAGCAATGAAAGGGCTCTTTAATTCCACCCAGCAGCACAGATTCCTGGTGGGGTCACTCAGTTCCCTTGATTTCCGTGGAAAATACAGACGGACTGTATTCTCCCAAGCCGTTCATCAACAAAACCAATTTAGTCCCAGCTGTCTTCCTAGTTTTTAGCTGTCTTTGGTTTTGATGTTAAGCTTGAGAGAGCTGGTTTTTGGCTGGTTGTTTGCTGGTTTTGCCCCCTGCCAGATGCCCGTGGTATCGGCAGGAGGCAGAACAAGCAACGTGGCTTTCATGCAGCAGAGCAGCACCAGCCAGAACCAACTGCAGGGCTGCAGCACAGGCAGGGTCCTCCCCAGTGCTGTCCTGGCTGCAGCCAGCCTCCACAGAGCTCCTGGGAGCAGCAGCAGCACAGCCAGGGCAGCGCAGCCCCTGCACACACAGCCACGACCAGCTGCCCATGCTCCCGAAAATGAGCCCCAGCTGGGACAGCTCAGCATTTCTTTGAGCAAAACGTGGCTTCAAGTTTCAAATCAAAAGATACAGTGAAATTCACCAGAGCCGGACTTCACACCCTCCAGAGAACAGGAATAGATCACAGCCCCTCAGCCCTGATTCAACTACTTGCTCTGAATCCCGCAGGGCTGTTCCCTCCTCCTCCGTTCCAGGTTACTCTTTTTATGCGTAGGGGAAGCAAGGTCTGGAGGCAGGAAGAGGAGAACAGAGCAAATCTATTTAAATCCCCCAGTCGTGTTAGCTTCTCACACACGGTTATGGGAAGAAAGGTAACTAAATATTCACTGACTGCAGACGACTCATCCACCATACCAGCTTGATTACTGCTCAGCAGCACTTCAAAACTGCGCTGATACGTTAAATGAAGACAATTATTGCTATAGGAAGACATCTCAGGACCACAAAAGGAGACCACTGTTCAATATGAAGACGTACCAAGGGAAGGATTTTTGCAATACCCACGTAATGTGGGGACAAAAGTCCCAGAGAGAAGCAATTTAGCCCACAGATTTTGCAGCAGAGTCCTCTTGCAGAACTTCACCTTGTACTGCAGGACAGGGGGGACGGCGTTCTGCCCAGGGCCCTCCATACAAAGCGCTCAGTGGGAACACAGCAGAGCTGACCATTACAAGGTTCATCAGTTTCACTATTCGTGTTTTATCGTTTTCTGGAAGGAAATGGTGCCATACAAAAAAAAAAAACAACCAGAAAGCTTTGTCCTCCACCAGGACACCCAGCAGTAAGAGAACACCTTTCCAAGGGCACGTTCAGCAGCAGGGCTCTCAGCGAAGCAGCCTCTTCGCCAGGCTGCACCAAAGTAGGTCAGAGTGGGAAGCCCAGCTCCCATCGACACAAAACGCCCAGCTAAGAGTCTTCCCAATATTTCTGTGATTTGAGTCATAACGACCCCATTAAAATCCATACGTGAGTTAGAGCAGCCAAAGCTGAGTGCCTTTGATTTGCTGTCATGCTTGCCTACGGCTGCAGCTGTCACGGGCTGCCGGGCATCGCAGACACCAGGGGACGTTGCCAGGTTGCCCCACAACCCCTGCCCAGG